TATTTATTTCATTCATCCCCCACCCATCTCCTCTGATAACCAGCAGATTGTTCTCTACAATTAAGAGTCTGTTTCTCTCTCTCATTTTTTCCCCTTTGCGTGTTTGTTTTCTTCCTTAAATTCCACATTCAAATGAAGTCATATGGTATTTGTCTTTCTCTGACTGATTTATTTTGCTTAGCTTTATACTCTAGCTCCATCCATGTCCTTGCAAATGGCAAGATTTCATTCTGTTAAAGGGGTTCATTCTTTTTATGGCTGAATAATATTCCATTACCTATCTATCTATCTCATCTTATTTATCCATTCCTCAATCAATGGACACTTGAGCTGCTTCCATATCTTGGCTGTTGTAAATAATGCTGCCTTAAATATAGGAGAGCATGTATCCCTTTGAATTAGTGTTCTTTTATTCTTTGGGTAGATACCCAGTGGTATGATCGCTGGATTGTAGGGTGGTTCTATTTCTAACTTTTTTCAGGAAACTCCAAACTGTTTTCCACAGTGGCTGCCCCAGTTTGCATTCCTACCAACACTGCACAAGTGTCCTTTTTACTCCACATCCCCGCCAACACTTGTTGTTTCTTGTGTTTTTTATTATAATCCTTCTGACAGGTGTGAGTTGGTATCTCCTCGTAGTTTTGATTTGCATTTCCCTGCTGATGAGTGCTGTTGAGCATCTTTTCATGTGTCTGTTGACCATCTGGATGTCTTCTTTAGAGAAATGTCTGTTCATGTCTTCTGTCCATTTTTTAAAAGATTTTATTTATTTATTTATTTCACACACACACACACACACACACACACACACACACACAGAATGAGAACACAAGCAGGGGAAGTGAGAGAGGGAGAAGCAGCATCCCTGCTGAGCAGGGAGCTGGATGCTGGACCCAATCTCAGGACCTAGGGATCATGACCTGAGCTGAAGGCAGAAGCTTAACCAACTGAGCCACCCAGGTGCCCCTTCTGCCCATTTTTTAATCGGATTGTTTGGTTTTGGGGTGTAGAGTTGTATAAGTTCTTTATAGATTTTGGATACTAACCCTTTATCAGATATGTCATTTGCAAATATCTCCTCCCATTCCATAGGTTGCCTTTTAGTTTTGTTGATTGTTTCCTTCTCTGTGCAGAAGCCTTTTATTTTTATGTAGTCTCAGTAGTTTATTTTTGCTTTTGTTTCCCTTGCCTCAGAAGACGTATGAGAAGAAGTTGCTATGGCTGATGACAAAGTAGTTATTGCTTATGTTCTCTTCTAGGATTTTTATGGTTTCAGGTCTCATGTTTAGGTCTTTAATCTATTTTGAATTTGTGTTTGTGTGTGGTGTGAGAAGGTGCTCCAGTTTCATTCGTTTGCATGTTGCTCTTCAGTTTTCCCATCACCATTTGTTACAAAGAACATCTTTTGGGGTGCCTGGGTGGCTCAGTGGGTTAAAGCCTCTGCCTTCGGCTCAGGTCGTGATCCCAGGGTCCTGGGATCGAGCCCCGCATTGGGCTCTCTGCTCATCAGGGAGCCTGCTTCCTCCTCTCTCTCTCTGCCTGCCTTTCTGCCTGCTTGTGGTCTCTGTCTGTCAAACAGATGGATAGAGTCTTTAAAAAAAAAAAAAAAAAAAGAGCATCTTTTTCCCATTATATAGTCTTTCCTGCTTTGTCAAAGATTAATTGACCACATAATTATGGGTTTATTTCTATTCTGTTCCATTGATCCGTGTGTCCATTTTTGTGCCAATACCATACTATTTTGATTACTACAACTTTGTAATATAACTTGAAGTCCAGAATTGTGATGCCTCCTGTTCTGCTTTTCTTTCTCAAGATTGCTTTGGCTCCTGGGGGTCTTTTGTGGTTCCACACAAATTTTAGGATTGTTTGTTCTAGTTCTGTGAAAAATGCTGTTGGTATTTTGAAAGGTATTGCATTAAATGTGTAGATTGCTTTGGGTAGTGCAGACATTTTAACAATATCTATTTTTCCAATCCATGAGCATTCCATTTCTTTGTGTCATCTTCAATTTCTGTAATCAGTGTTTTATAGTTTTCAGAGTACAGATCTTTTACCTCTTTGATTAGGTTTATTCCTAGGTATCTTATTATTTTGGGTGCAATTATAAATGGGATTGTTTTCTTAACATCTCTTTCTGCTGCTTCATTATTGGTGTATAAAAATACAACAGATTTCTGTACATTGATTTTGTATCCTGTGACTTTACTGAATTTGTTTACCAGGTCTAGCAGTTTTTTTGGTGGAAGCTTTAGGGTTTTCTATATATAGTATCATGTCATCTGCAAATAGTGACCGTTTTAGTTCTTCCTTACCAATTTGGATGCTCTCTGTTTCTTTTTGCTGTCTGACTGCTGTGGCTAGGACTTCCAGTTTTATGTTGAATAAAAGTCCTGAGAGTGGAAATCCTGGTCTTGTTCCTGACCTTAGAGAAAAAGCTCTGTTTTTCCCCATTAAGGATGAAGTTAGCTGTAGGTTTTTCATAAATGGCCTGTATTATGTTAAGGCACGTTCCCTCTCAAACTACTTTGTTCAGGTTTTTTTTTTTTTCTTGAGATTCTTATTTATTTATTTGTCAGAGAGAGAGAAGTGGGAAGAAAGAACACAAGCAGGGGGAGTGGCAGACAGAGGGAGAAATAGGCTTCCTGCTGAGCAGGAGCCCAATGCAGGACTCAGTCCCAGGACTCTGGGATCATGACCTGAGCCAAAGACAAATGCTTAACTGACTGAGACACCCAAGCCTCTGGTTGAGGATGTTTTGTTTTGTTTTATCATGAATGGGTGTTGTACTTGTCAAATGCTTTTTCTGCATCTTTTGAAATGGTCATATAGTTTTTATCCTTTCTATTGTTGATATGATATATCATTTCTCATAGCTTGATTTGCAAGTATTGCACATTTGTACCCAGGAATAAATCCCACTTGATTGTGGTGAATGATTGTTTTAATGTGTTGTTGAATTCGGTTTGCTAGTATTTTATTCAGAACTTTTGCATCTATGTTCATTAGGGATATTGGCCTGTTCTAGGTACTATCTCTTCTTTAATTGTTTGGTAGAATTCACCTGTGAAGCCATCTGGTCCTGGATTTTTGTTTTGGGGGAGTTTTTAATCACAAATTCAATTTCTTTGCCGGTTAACAGTCTGTTCAAGTTTTCTATTTCTTCCTGTTTCAGTTTTGGTAGTTATCTGTTTCTAGGAATTTATCCATTTCTTCTAGGTTGTCCAATTTGATGGTATATAGTTTTTCTTTTCTTTTTTTAAAAAATATTTTATTTATTTATTTGTCAGAGAAAGAGAGAGAGAGAGTACAAGCAGGGGGAGCAGCAGGCAGAGGGATAAGCAGGCTCCCCACAGAGCAGGGAGCCCGACAAGGGACTCGATCCCAGGACTCCAGGATCATGACCAGAGCCAAAGGCAGTAGTAGCCTAACCAACTGAGCCACGCAGGTGTCCCATAGTTTTTCACAAAATACTCTCTTATGATTGTATTTCTGCCGTGTTGGTTATTATTTTTCTCTCTAATCTGTGATTTTGTTTGAGTCCTTTCTCTTTTTTTCGTGATAAGTCTGGCTAGAGGTTTATTATTTTTTTTGATTTTTCTTTCAAAGAAATAGCTCCTGGTTTTATTGATTTTTTTTTAAGTTTCTGTATCATTTATTTCTGCTCTAATCTTTATTACTTCCTAATACTCCAAATGTTTCTGTTCTGCACAAGGGCACATGGCCTCTGGAGTTCCGTTCCATAGCTTGCTCTCCCTTCCCTGGGCTGCTGCTATGGAAAGCTTTTTCAGATAGGGTTGAGGGGCTCCATTTGTCATTCTGTCTTTCGAGTGGGATTCTGTCTAAGGTAATTTGGCATTTCCTGTCCCATTTCTTTTCATATTTCCTACTTAGAGTTAAAAGGCAGTACGGATTTTGGAGTCCGACAGACTTGGGTAGTTCAAATATACTGGACTTCATCAAAAACGAGGAGCTGCTACTGTTGTAACTTTCATCTTCTATATTTTATTTAAAATAACTTTTGGCTCAAATACTACAGATTTGTGAAGAGCATTTTACCTTTGTAATATTCTCTATGCTTATTACTATAGCTCAAAATGCCAGTGAAATAAACATGCACTGAATTAAATGCCCCAGCATTTAATATCATGTAAGATTAGAGTATCCAATGTCAAAAGAAAGACTAATTCAGTAGGCTCAAGATTCCTTCCCATAGGTTTCTTTCATCTTTTTTTCCCCAAGGTGACATTCACTAACATCAAATCAATTATTTAAAAGTGTACAATTCAGTGGCATTTAGTATACTCACAGTGTTGTGTGGACTACCATTTCTGTCTAGGTCCAAAACAGTTTCATCACCCCAAAAGAAAATCCTGTACCCATTAAGCAGTCAGTACCCATTCCCTTCTCCCCCAGCCCCTGGCAACCACCAATTTGTTTTCTGTGTCTATAGATTTGCCTATTCTAGATAGTTCATGTGAGTGGAATCGTACAATGTATTGCCTTTCATATCTGGTTTCTTTCCTTTAACATATTAATCTTGAGGTTCACCAATGTGTAACATATAGCAGGACTTCATTCTTTTTCTGGCAGAACAATATTTCACAGGTTGGATAGACCAGATTTTGTTTATCCATTCATCCACTGATGTACATTTGGGTTGTTTCTGCCTTTTTGACCAGTGTGAATAGTACTGCTATGAATATTTGTGTATGTATATTAGAGTACCCATTTTCAATTCTTTAGGATATATACTGAGGAGTGGGATTTCTGGGTCATATGGTAATTCTGTGTTTAACTTTTGGGGGATGCTTTTGGCTTTTTTCTCCAAGGGGGATGGCATAATCAGTGAAATAGAAGTTGAGAATTAACATGAGCCATGCAGCTAACCCAATTTTTGTCTACCCCACTCAACGAACCCTTTACCTTTCACCTCTTCTACCAGCAGAGAAAGATGAGTGCTGTGGGTGCCTTACAGTTCTGGCCTCTGACCCCTAGGGCTGTGTCTGGCTGTCCCTGGGGAAACTGTGAGGTGGTGCACCATCTCAGATCATGAAGCCAGTAAGTGCTCCAGTTTCACTGCCAATATGAAAAGAGTCCTTCCAGTGGATGGTCCCCACATCACCTGTGTGAAGAGAAACTCTCACCTCGAATGTATCAAGGCCATTATGGTAAGTTGCAGCTGCCAACAGGAGAGTGGAAGAAAATTCATACTTCCTTTCTCTGTGCTTGTTATTGTTTATTGCTTCAGAACAACTTTTTTCCCACAAGAACTAGACCGTGCTTTAGAGGAGAAAGAAATAAGCTGAAGACCTGAAAGTACCGGGACTGTGTGTAGAAAAATAATATAGGTGCTCAACATTCATTAATAGTAAAAACAATAATAGTAATTAAACAACTAATAAAGAAGGATTCATTGAAAATGCCTGTAATAAAGCAAAGCCAGACTGCACTGGAAAATCCATAAAGAGTCAGAAATAAACAAAAAGTTGTAGTTTTACCCTTATTACTTAACATTGTTTTTGGAATTTCCCAGCAATAATAAAATGCATATTGGATAGAAAGAAACAAATAAAATATCCATATCTTCAGACATTTGCATGCCTGGAATGTACAGTGGGATCAAGGAAAATATTACTCTAATTGTGAATAGGTTATATAAATTTAATAAATTAAATTTAATTAACATATCACAATGTCATTTTTGTATATCAGCGGTCATTAGTTTGGCGGAAAGTAGCCCAAAATTACAACTCATTTTCATTTAAAACAATATACTATAATTCTATTATACTATAACATAGTCTACTATAATATAATAGAAAAACATTTCAGGGGCACCTGGGTGGCTCAGTCGTTAAGCATCTGCCTTCGGCTCAGGTCATGATCCCAGGATTCTGGGATCGAGCCCCGCATCGGGCTCCCGGCTTGGTGGGAAGCCTGCTTCTCCCTCTCTCACTCCCCCTGCTTGTGTTCCCTCTCTCGCTGTGTCTCTCTGTCAAATAAATAAATACAATATTTAAAAACAACAACAACAACAAAAAAAAACATTTCAGGAGAAAAATCATAGGAGAGATCTGCAAGATTGTTATAATACAAAAGTTAGGACAAACAAAAAACATTTATCAATGAATTAAAATATATGTCATATTCCTAAATGGGAAGACTAAATATCATATACTTGTATAACTTGCCACATAATAAGTTTAATATAATTTTCATCAAAATACAGTTTTTTTAAAAGAATCAATTGAATAATTATAAAAATCCTAAGAAAAAGCACATGGATGAGAAAATAAATAGTATTATGAAAAAGAAAATTAGCATGGGAGTGGATGAAACCTACTTGAAACTTGAAAAATATTTAAGTAGCCATGTTACAGAGACTAGGGTCCTCGTGTAGATGTAAGAGATCTGGAAGAGAACAAAATTTGCATATTTGCAGCTTTCTTTACATACATTCATCCATCTCCTTGTCTATGTGATATGAGGCAGATGTCAACTATGATCAATACCCAACATCAGGGCACTAGGGCTCTAGGTTTAATAAATTTAAGTAAGATACACGTGGATTTATGTAGATTTATATATGATAAAGTAAACTTTCTAAACAAATGGCTAAAGAAAAGATTCTTTAGCTAGACAACAGCTAAAAAAACAGTTAAAGTTTCCTTTTAACAAGGAAAATCAAGTGAAATGTTTAATTCATTTACCAAAACAAGATCTCAGTTTGACTCAATTTGACTGATAAAGATAGACATTACAAGATAAATCACAGAGGTAGATAAACTTGGAAATGTAGAAATTATAGATCTCTGACAAAAAAAAATTTAAAGCCTTAAGCATATGAAAATATATTCACATCAGCTATGACAAACCAGCTAGGGCAAAAACTAGATAAAAATGTCATTTAAATATATAAGAAATGCTTAAGAATAATAAGCTATAATCAAGCCACTCACAGAAATTACAAGTAATAAATAATATAAACAACAAGGGAAAAGTGTTCATCCTTTTTTAAAAATTTTTTTCAAAAGATTATTTATTTATTTATTTGACAGAGAGATCACAAGTAGGCAGAGAGGCAGGCAGAGAGAGAGGGGAAGCATGTTCCCTGCTGAGCAGAGAGCCCGATGTGGGGCTCAATCCCAGGACCCTGAGATCATGACCTGAGCCAAAGGCAGATGCTTTAAACCACTGAGCCACCCAGGTGCCCCGTGTTCATCCTTTTTAATAATAAAATGCAAATAAGTGCAAATAGAGCCATTTCTTAAGGTAACAGTTTTTACCTAGAAATGTAATAACTTCTCTTAAATGATAGCATTTTTTGCTGGTAGGTTTCTGTGACAGTAGGGTATATTGCTATTGGCATTATAAATGATAAATTCTGTGTTATTTCTGGAAAACACTCTGGAAGTATTCAGTAGGGGGCATAAACATGCACACAAACTTTTATTTATTTTTCTCTAATTCATCAATGAGTGGGGGGAATGATTTGTTACAAGAATTAGACCTTATACAATTGTGGGAGCAGGTTAAACACTTTCTGTGGCACTACTCTCTTTGCAACTGCTCTTGGAGCTTGAGGAGGAGGCAGCCAGGAAGGGAAGATGTATGTAAAGTGGAGGAAGAGCAAGAACAATCTGGAACCTCAGGCATGACCTGGAGCCCATGGGTGTAAACTGAAACCTCTGACTCTAATTGCTTCTGACCTTGACAGTGTTCACTAGGCCCAGTGGCCTTCTTTTCCTTTTACCTTTATACTAACTCCCTCCTTTTCTCAAGTGAATTTAAGTTGGTTTCTGATACATGCAACCCATATATATTAATTATATATAAACATAAATACATAAGTATGAATACATACGTAAGAAAAAGATGGGATAGGGAAAAAGGAGGCAAGTATATTGAAATGCAACACTAAATTCAGAAAAAGCCTAGGTTACTTCAAATGTCATATTTTTTACTTCAAATGTTACATTTTTAAAAAATTTTATTTCTATTCAGCGTAACAGTATTCATTGTTTTTGCACCATACCCAGTGCTCCATGCAATCCATGCCCTCTCCAATACCCACCACCTGGTTCCCCCAACCTCCCACCCCCCGCCCCTTCAAAACCCTCAGATTGTTTTTCAGAGTCCATAGTCTCTCATGGTTCACCTCCCCTTCCAATTTCCCTCAACTCCCTTCTCCTCTTTAACTCCCCTTGTCCTCCGTGCTATTTGTTATGCTCCACAAATCAGTAAAACCATATGATAATTGACTCTCTCTGCTTGACTTATTTCACTCAGCATAATCTCTTCCAGTTCCATCCATGTTGCTACAAAAGTTGGGTATTCATCCTTTCTGATGGAGGCATAATACTCCATAGTGTATATGGACCACATCTTCCTTATCCATTCGTCCGTTGAAGGGCATCTTGGTTCTTTCCACAGTTTGGCGACCATGGCCATTGCTGTTATGAACATTGGGGTACAGATGGCCCTTCTTTTCACTCCATCTGTATCTTTGGGGTAAATACCCAGTAGTGCAATTGCAGGGTCATAGGGAAGCTCTATTTTTAATTTCTTGAGGAATCTCCACACTGTTCCCACCAACAGTGTAAGAGGGTTCCCCTTTCTCCACATCCCCTCCAACACATGTTGTTTCCTGTCTTGCTAATTCTGGCCATTCTAAGTGGTGTAAGGTGGTATCAAATGTCAATTAATAAATGAATTTAAAAAATGATTTCCATGATGGGTTGGGAAATGATCCAATGTCATTTCTGAGAAGAGGCTGTGAGGTGGCTGCTTCTCACAAGAAGGGAGGAATGCTGGGCTGACAAATACTTGAAGAGGGAATCCAGATCTGTGAGTGCAAACCCCGACTTCTTATGGATAGAAATATTCAATAATTCACTCATTCGCTTACTCAGTAAACATTTATTGAGCGCTTACGTGTAGTAGGTGCTTCTCTGGGTACAGCAGGAAAGTTCAGCAGGAAAACACACACACACACACACACACACACACACACACACACGCACACACACGCAAGTGTCCCCACCCTGGTAGAGCTTACATTCCAAAGAGAAGGGCAAGCAGTAAACAATGAAAACTTCTTAGGTGGTTGATAAGGGCTAAGGAAAAAACAAAGAGGAGTCCAGCATTCATACATGAAGTGGTAGTTTTAAGATGTGGCTGGAGAGAGCCTCGCTGGGAAGGTGACATTCAAGCAGACACTAGGGAGGGAAGGAGGTCTGACCCATGCAATATTTCTGGGTCAGTCATCCCTGGCAGAGGGCTAGGTTAGGGCTCCCTTCATGGTCTGGTCTCTTCTATTTCAGGCCAATGAAGCAGATGCTGTGACTCTTGAAGCAGGTTTGGTGCTTGAAGCAGGGCTGCCCCCCTTCAATCTGAAGCCTGTCGTGGCCGAATTCCATGGGTCAAACATTGGTGCGTTCTTCCTGGGGCCCCAGGTCTCTGATTTGACACTGCAGCTATGGGGGAGAAGGCAGGGTCTCTGCCAACATTTCATCTGAAGGGAACAGAATTGCTGGAGCTCTTTGGATCAAAGGAGGCTGTCATCTACACTGACCCATAAGGGTTGGAATGTTGACTCTCCCTGGGAAGCTATGAGCGGTGTGCATCCTAATGGAAGTGCCCTTGGTGCTGCTGGATAAGGGGGGGCAGGGCTTTCTGGGGTCCATCACCTACCTGTGGGGCTGCGCCATTGGGAGGCCCATCTCTGGAGACACACAGACCTGGACAGGCTCTTCCCGGTGCTGAGTCCCCTGCAGGTGCTACAGAACATGGGTTTGTGAATGCCGTCAAGAGAGGTTTGGTGGGGGGGAGTCGAAGAATAAGGTTTTGCCTCCTCCCTGTTCTTGCCCATTAGTGTCATCAGTGTGTGCGTGAGCACAGCCCACCTCAATCGGACTCCTATTTGCAGAGCCCTGGCAAAATCCCAGGGTACCCCTGCATCCTTCCTCTCAGACCTTCACCACTGTGTCTGGGCTGCAGACGGAGAAGCCAAGAAGGGAGAAAAGCCTTTGGGGAGAAATAGTAACGTCACAATGACTGGGAGTTGAAGATCTTCCTCAGAATGCCCTGCAGGCCCTATAATAGCTGGGGGCCCCCACCCCCATGTCTCCACTGGCTTGGAGGGGCTGGCAGAAAGACACTAGCATTTATTGCCTTAATAAGGGACTTCCCCCTATCCTGTTAATCAAAGGCTTTTTTCTTTTCTTTGTCTACCTGTTCATCAGGGGATGGTGGAGACCCTAGGATTTCCCTAAAGTTGCCCATTGCACGCCCTCTGGAAGATTAGCTAGTGACTGTGGTATCTTCCTTTGGCCCTTCTTTCTCTCTGCTCTTTTGCAGAGTCACAAACCTTGCATTATGCTGTGGCTGTGGTGGAGAAGGGCAGTGACTTCCAGCTGCAACAGCTCCAAGGCAAGAAGTCCTGCCACTCGGGCCTAGGATGGTCTGCTGGGTGGTACCTCCCCATCCGGATACTTCTTCCTTCTGACTCTGTTGAAGAAGGTAAGCTGGCTGAGGCTGGGTGCCTTCCGGCAGGACTCCTACTCCAGTCGCCCGCAGGGATTGCAGTGGGGCCATACAACCACTATCCGGCATATTAGTTTCAGGAACTGCGAGATGGGGTGAGGACAGCCTGCTTTAAGTGTGATCAGCTAGGTTTGTTGCAGCAGCAACCCTTGGGAACTGAGAGCTGAGTCTTCTCTCAGCAAGGGTACCTTGGTGTCTGATCTCCTGACAGCCCCGAACTCATTGTAACCCCAGCAGTTTGGCTTGACAAGGAAGGTCACTGAGGCTCATGAGAAAGGACAATTCCCTTCTGGCTTCCCAGGAAGGCTTACTGGGAATTACAGCCACACCATCAGCAGTCGGCCTTTGTGCCTGGGGTAAGGGCTTGGGATGGAGCCAAGAAGAGAGGAGTGGACTGGAGCCATGATTTCTTTTGTGTGTACTTCTTGTTCAGTTATGAAGAGCCAAGGGAGCCTAGGGTGCCTCTTTAGCCTTTGGAAGATGATTACAAAGTCTTTCTGTGCTTTTGAGGCCTGCCAGCTCTGCAGCATTCATGTTTTGTCTATAATAGGACAACAGGCTGCTGGGGTCAGATGGAGTGCTATAGCCTGGGCCACAGCTCTGACCCCGTGTGCCCTTTCTTGGGGTCTCCCTTGCTTCAGTGTCAGACAGTGCTGGATGTCTGTGTGACAGTTTGTGAGGTGGCTGTTGGCACACCCCCTTACCCACTACCAGGCAAGTTACCCCAACCCCCTTCCATGGATTCCTAGAAGAGGAATCCCCATAAACTACCACAGCCCCTGGTGCCAAAGGGGAGAAGGCTGGATGGGATCATGCCCTGAGGTAAGGAAGGATGTTCAGAGTCCCCAGTGTCTGGGGTTCTGCCTGCCACACCTAGAGCCTCCGTGGTGGTGAGTTAACAGGGTGAGTTAACAGGGATTGCAGCTTGGTTCCGTGTAGTTCAGCCACCATTGTGTCTTGAGTGGGCAAGCTAGAAAACATCTGGTGGGCTGGGGCCCCAGGCCCACACGTCAGTGTGATGTCTGAACACCCTGGGCCATCCACTTCCTCAGCCATGGGCACTGTCGGCCACCTCTGCACATCTGCTTCCTCAGAATGGTCCTGGGAAGTGTGTTCCACCTCTTGGGCTCTCATATAAGGCCACTCGCTCACACACATGCAACCTGGAGGTCCCCAGCCAATTCATGCTCTGAGGTTCCTTATGTCTCTGTTAAGCAGCCACAGCAGAAATGGCCAAGATCTTCTCTGGCAGCTGTGTCCCCTGTGCGAACAGGGAGGTATTCCCCAAGCTGTGTCAACTGTGTGCGGGGAAAGGGACAAACAAGTGTGCCTGCTCCTTCCAAGAACCATACTTCGGCTACGCTGGTGCCTTCAAGTGAGTGGGAACACCCCCCATTCCTCCTCACTCTGATGCCAGGGAAACTAAGGTACAGGAAGTGGACACAGAGCCTGCCCAGACCACCTGGGGTGTCAGTGTGAAACCCAGGGTCCTGAGTGCCTCCCATGGCGTGCTCTCACTCCTAACCATCCTGAGGAGCAGTCTACTGTGTGGGAGCCCATCTTCTCTCTCTATGGCCTAGGGTCTGTGTGTTACCCTCCTGGACCAAGGAGGGCTGAAGGGACAAAACTGTATCTGGGACTCTGGGATTCACAGACACAGGTTTGGATTTCCAGCTGGGCCAAAGGCCAGGACCTCCCAGCTTGCTTCTCTCTCCCTGAGCATCTCCCTATGTCATGGACATGTGCCTGCCTCTCCCTACCTCCTCAGCCCCTGCAGAGGGGTACAAGAGACAAGGCTACTGCTCAAAAGCAGAACCAAACAGTCCAGGAATCCAAGGCTATCCTGGATTATCCTCCGTATTAGGCTTTAAGCCTTTATTAAAACAAAAACAAAAACTAGTTGCTTTAGGTTGCCTTTGAAGGGGAAGGTGAAGGTCTTGCCCTCTTATCACTCCCCGCCCCCAGAGTTACCTGAGTTATGGCTTACAGAGCTCCTGCCTGCTTCAGACTCAGGTTGGCTGTGGAGGTATAAAGGCTCCTCAGCTAGGTCCATGGCCTCTGAGGACACACTGAAGCCTGGGAAACTGTGGGCAAAGCCCTGTGAGCCAGTGGTCAGGGCAGAGCAAATCATGGGGACTGGCCTAACGACTACTGTCTTGTTCCTCAGGTGTCTGCAGGATGGTGTGGGGGATGTGGCCTTTGTGAGGCATATGACAGTGTTTGGTAAGTGCTGGATGAAGACTCATGTGAGCCATCTCCTGGCCAGGGCAGATGGTTCTGGCCTGAAAATTTCCCTATATCTAGAGATGGGTGATGACAAGACCCTTAATGGAATAGGAGAGTTTCTATACAAAAACCATTTCCATTACTTGAACTTTGTTTAGTGTTTAGTTTGTTCAGTCTATAAATCTACTAAACAAATTTTCTAAACAGTAACAATTTGTATTTATTAATTAATAAAATGAAACAAATTTTAATAATTTAATAACTCAATTCACTTAGCCACTGCAATATCCATTTCAAATGTAATCACACTCTCCCAAATGCTTCAGTATAAATGGTTCCTAAATGTTATAAACATGTTAAACAAACAAATTATAATGATTTCAGAACTTATTAGCATATCTACAATTAGATGTGTTGCAAAAGCATTATTACTGTGGACAAAAATATATTTCTTTCTGGTTTCTATATTAAAAAAACGCTTTTAAGGGTTGGGGGCAACTTATCAGAAAGAAAAAAAATAATATAAATTTAAGACAAATTGAAGTTACAGAATCTGGGTTTTGTTTTGTAACCAATTAAATTTCTATCAGATATGAAATACACTTATATCGCTTAAGATATTTAAACCAAATGTACATTTAGTTTGCTAGGTTCATTTTTAAGATCAATGTCTGCTACCTCAAGGGGAACTTTAAGTCCTCACTTTTTACATGGGCCTTAGTTCCTTACAACCTAGTGTATTTCTCTAGAATGAAGTAGGAGCTCGGTGTCCTTTGTTGCCTTGTTTAGCTGTTCACAATTCACTCCCCCTTGATTATTACACAGTGACCTGGTTTGTTAGCATTTTGGCAATTGAGGCCTCTCCTATTATTTAATGAGTGGGGTCATCTAGGGGTTCCGTCTCCCAGACTCAAGTTGTTCCAGATCCTTGTCATTGTTACTTCCTGTGGGCACCCCAGTGAGTACAGTTATGTTGCCAGGGGCCAGCATCTTCTAATGCCCACCCTGAAACGTTTGAAAACATCTTCATTTTCTGAAAATACCAGGTTGTCCCAGAGTGTCCTGGTTTCCCTTTGCTGGAAGTCACTTGTCTGCTAATATTTAAGGTCACTCACTGCCTTTTAAGTAGCAGTTTATGATGATCCACCAGGCTTTTGCGGTACAAATGAAGCTTAGTGGGGAGCTGCTTCCACCACTGGGCCCCTGAGTGACTGATGTCGAGAATTCTTTCTTTCTGAAGCTATGAGATCATATTCATTCTTTTAATTTAATTCTGACATTACTAAATCATTTTAAGTTTGTTCTTTCGATATAAAGATTTAAAGAGTATTTTCTTTACAACCTACCTAAGTAAACTTGTAACCATTTACAATAATTCTAACTGTACTCTTTCTCTTTTAGTATGATCATGCATGAACCCCATAGACCTCTACGAGTCTGCTAGGGCTGCCATAACAAAGTACCACAAACTAGGTGGCTTAAGCAATAGCAATTTATTGTCTCACAGTTCTAGAGGCTAGAAGTTCAAGATCAAGGTGTGGGTAGGGTTGGTTCCTTCTGGAGGCTCCTTGCTTCTCCCTTAGTTTCTGGTGGTTTGCCGGCCATCTTTGGTGTTCGTTGGCTGTAGTCACATCACCCCACTCTACTTCTTTCCCTTCATGTGACATTCTCCATGTGTATGTATGTGTGCATGTGTGTGGTTTTTATCAGGACACCAGTCATATTGGATTAGGGGCCCCACTACTCTAGTGGGACCTCATCTTTAATTAATGACATCTGTAATGACTCTGTTTCCAAGTAAGGTGACATTCTGAGGTACTGGGGATTTGGATTTCAACACGGAAATTTGCAGGGTCACAATTCAACCCAGAATACCTTCAAATACCTAGACAAGGAGAACCAAAGAGCCTGTTTTCCTCACAAGGTTTTCTGGTCTTCTTTCTACATATAGAGTATGCCGAGTGGGCCCCTAGGCCTCCTTCAACTCTTCCCCACCTTTCCTCAGCAGCCTTTGCCTCCAGGGGCGGATGCTGCTGTAGTCAGGAGACCTGGACTATCCTAGCATGGCCGTGCATCAGCCTCAGACCAGCTGACAAGTCACCTTCAGTCTCTGAGCCTGTCTCCTCATCTCTAGGGGATCATCCTATTACTGGCCTCCCCTGGTTGCTATGAGGATTAAGTGAAACAGAGCCTGGAGAGCCTTCAGCACCATCTCTGGTGTGCTGTGGGTGCTCAGAAAATATTTGCTATCATCATTCATAGCAGAAAGTTACACGTATGTGGGGATACCCTGAGGGGACCTGAGCAAGGGTGCCTCCTAGCCCTCCCTATCTATCTGCAATGAGAACCGGCCATTTTGCCTCCTGAGGCCTCAGATTCCTCATAGGTATAAAACATATTTGGAAAAGATTCTCTTTCAGTCTCTTTGGGTTGTTAAAAAAATTATTAAAGGAGACCAGTTAGGTGATACAAACAAACTTGAACATTTCACAAAGTGGACGGTCTCCTTTTTGAGAACTGCAAAATGGAGCAGAAGGCAGGGAGCTTCTATAGGGTAAAGAACACGAAGAAACAAATACAATGTATCTGGTTGGCTGGGGCCACACAGTCAACCTTGTCTGGGGTGAAAGGGCTCAGAATTGGCTTTGTGTCTGGGGACTGGCTGGCTGAATATACTTTGTTTTTGTTCAAGTGGAGCATTTACAAGGACACAAAAGTTGTCTAGATTTTGACTTGCTTCTGTGGCCCTGGGGTACGAGCAGGGCCTCGAAAGTAATTACAACAAGGTCAGTTTGTGATTCAGGGAGCAGCAGGGACCACGGCTCATGGCTCTGCCTGCAGTCGGCTCATCTGGGCTTTCCTCCTGCAGAGAACCTGGCAAACAGGACTGATCATGATCAGTATAAGTTGCTCTGCCCGGACAACAGCCAGATGCCTGTGGATAAATACAGGGAGTGCAACCTGGGCCTCTTCCCTTCTCATGCTGTCGTGGCTCGAAATGTGGGGGGCAAGGAGGACTTGATCTGGGAGCTACTCAACCAGGCCCAGGTATTCCCACCCTCTACCCTCACCTCCTGCTTTGTGTATATGGCGGGGAGGGGGTGGGTCTCTGCTTAGATTTGGGGCATTTCTTACAGTCTCTTCTAGCCACTCTGAAAGTTCTTTTGGGTGTAGGGCAGGAACCATGTCATACATCATCTGCTTCACCAAAAAACCTCTCAGTCTGTATTGTTAGAGGCAACAGAGGCTCTGAACCTCTCACCTGGCATCATCCACTCCATGGACCAAAGACTCCATAGAAGTGCCTCTTTGCTCCATTTTTTCCTCTTCAGTTCTAAAGGGGTTTTCAGGATGCGGAGTAGATGCCCCTCCTCCATGGAGTGTTCCGCTATTATCTTACTGCCATGGGATCCTGCCCTCCTCAGTTTCCTCAGTGGCAGGGTCCCTAGCCATGAGCATTCTCTCTTTCTGGTGTTGGTGACAGCATCTCCTGGCCAGCCCTCATCCATTCCCTGTCCTTGCTCTGTTGGTGTTCTCTGCTCAGCACTGGGGGTCCAGAGATGAAGTGGACAATGACTTGCCCTTGAGTTGCTTTCAGACAAGTGTGAGGGACTTGATGAGAACACATACAAATTATCACCAGATGAAATGGTACAACCTTGGGGACACAGATTGTGTACTTTGTAGAGGACAGAGGAACTGATTTGCAGGGTACATCTGGGGAGATTATTGAGCCCTAGGTAGGAAGCTGTGCATACCCCCAGGAAGGGAGGAGATTATTTGCCAATGAGGGCAGCAGGTGTCTTTTCACATAGAACTGACACAAAAGCAAAAAGCAGATAGTGGAAAGAGCTTGGGGGTAGGTGCTATAGTCAGGAAGGGCTTTGGGCCAGTTAGTGGGAGTTGTTGGCAAAGGGCCCTTCCATATTTTGGAGGCTAGAAAGTTCCCAGCTGGTCCTTTAGTGGCAGACCTGAGGTCAGAGAGGAGCCCAGGACTCCTGACCTCCAGGCTCAGTGGCAGGATCACTAGCTGTTCTGGGATGAAGACTTCCAGAGCTACTTGGGACAGTTGGCTGGCCAGGAGACAGGCAGCTTTCACTGCCTGCCCTGTGGGAATTTGCCCTTGGAGAAGGGCAGCTGCATGGGACTTGGCAACCATACCTCTTGGTGTGGATCTTGGGGAACAGCCCCTGGCCATTTCCCTGAAGCTGCTCATGGCAGACCAGCTGGGATTTGGGTAAAGCATTCCCTGGAGAGAGGTGGGAGAACCCCAGGAACCATAGGGGCTTTGGTGGGCTTGGTGCTTTGTCTTAGCTCTCAAGTGCTCATATTTTCTCCCTTCCAGTTTTCCTTGTCTGTTTGGGTTTGTTATCCCCTCCCCTTGCTTTGCCAGCTCCCCTCCTTCTCTTTTTCTTTTATCCTTTGAACAGGAACATTTTGGAGAAGACAAGTCGACAGAATTCCAGCTCTTTGCCTCTCCTCATGGGAAGGACTTGCTGTTTACAGATGCTACCCGTGGGTTTTTAAGAATCCCTCCTAAGATGGATGCCAAGCTATACATGGGATATGAATATTTTGCTGCCACTCAACATCAAAGGAGAGGTGTGTAAAGTCCTGGGAGGGCAGCAGAGGCAGGAAAGCCAGAGAGGCTTTCCCAGTGCCTGCAAACCTCACCTTATCCAACCGTCATTGGCTAGTGGAGCCCAAGGGAGCTACCAGCTGCACTGGGTTAGTGAGGGGATTTTCTGCTGAGTTGGGGAAAAGGCCTGAATTATGAGATCACAAAAGGGTTTTGAAGACCTTCAGATTAGAGTCAACTTGAAGTAATGATGGTTCTTGCTCCTGTGTTTTAACTAGGGATACCCCACCCAGTGGCCGGTTTATATGACAGGAGAAAATAGCACATCCCAAACTGAAGTGGGAACATGGCCTCTGCCACTATCAGGAGTGAATTTCCAACTCTTGCCTTCCTCTAGATCCCTATGGTTCATTTCTTCTTTCTTCCCTTACTTTTGTCTTCATTTAGTCAACCAATAGTCAATGAGCATCCACAAAACCCACTGTGTTAGATGTGGCATACTGTGGTGAGCAGACATGGGGGTGGGGAGCAATCAGGCCCACCCAGAGGAGTACACATGACTACCAACTGGGGAATGCTACTGAATGGGAGAACCCAGTCCTTTCAGAACAAACTCTGGAAGGTCCTGACCTTCTGGTGCTCAGAGAGGGCTCTCCTCAGGAGGACATACTCAACGAGGTGAGGTCAGGAGAGTGGGGAACTACTCTGCCTTCACTACTCTTTCTGGGTGCACAGTTCCGCATTTCTTCTGGAGGATGATAGGCAGGAATGAGCAGTGATGTGGGCCTGAGACATGCCCACTCTGCTGCTGTCAGTGAGGACCCTACTGGGCAGCCTTTCTGTAGCCAGTGGCACTAAGCTCCCAGACACATCTTTGGACTTCTTTTGGATGCCTGGCTTTTCTCTACCTGTCCTAGGTGTGGAAGACCCCCAGAGGGTGCTGTGGTGTGCAGTGGGCCACCATGAGAAGGTCAAGTGTGATGAATGGAGTGCTGTAAGCGGTGGTGCTTTACAGTGCACCACAGAGGAAAGCACTGAGGACTGCATCGCCGCCATCACAGTAAGGTCGCCTCACCTCCACAGCTGGGCTCAGACACCCAGACATATGGCCTCTCTGCCCTCTTCCCATATGTCTTCCTTTTGGCTATGAGACTAAGATGCACCTATTGTGAGCTGCTCCCACCCTCCAAAGCCCCACCCAGCTCTACTGAATGTGCCACTGGAGCTCAGGCTGGCCCAAGGTCCAGACTCCTTAGGTGCTCAGCTCTGGAGTCCTGGGAGCTCTTGAGTATGGTCCTGTCTGGGAGCTGCAGGAAGTGGGGTGACATCCCAGGGGGGTGGTCAGGGCCCCTGTGGATCGTGAAAGCAAATCAACCTTAGTCCTTGAGTTGTAAGTATAATTTTTTTTGGTGCTAAAAATATTATATGCTGGAAGAGAAATGAAAGATAAATAAAATCATTTACAACTTTATAACTCAGAGATCATTACCTCATAATTTCTGAGTTACGAATTATGTTATTAGCTTTCCATTTCTCTATGAGCAGATAATATTTTTGTGATTAGAAAAAATAAATTTAGGGCGCCTGGGTGGCTCAGTGGGTTAAGCTGCTGCCTTCGGCTCAGGTCATGATCTCGGGGTCCTGGGATCGAGTCCCGCATAGGGCTTTCTGCTCAGCAGGAAGCCTGCTTCCCTCTCTCTCTCTCTCTCTGCCTGCCTCTCCGTCTGCTTGTGATCTCTCTCTGTCAAATAAATAAATAAAATCTTTAAAAACAAAAAAAGAAAAAATAAATTTATAATAAAAGACTAAAAAATTGACAAACTCAGAAGACATACATTCTTCTTTAAGAAGATATTTATTTTGATAAACTTTCCTAAGACTAACCCATACATTAAGATCTTGCAATTTATACAGTCTCCTTAATGTGTCAATTTTAAGGATTAAATGAATGAGTTCTCAGAACATTGCCTAGCATATAATAAGCAGCCAATAAACGTTATCTATTGTTACTATTTAAAGTCAGCACAGTAGGTGCACTTTCTTAGGAAATGGAATATTCATTTAAAATGTTTTTAATGGCTGCACAATATTCCACCAAGTATTTCTGCTTCAATTTATTTAACTGATCTCTAAATGTCTACATATTAATTATTTGCAAATCCTTTGGTATTGTAGATGATATGGGATTGAAGATTTTTGTTCTATAACCTCAATATTTCTGGATATATCATAAGAAATAATAATAGTTAATATCTCAGAAGTTAGTTACTATGTGCCAAACATGTCTATGGGCTCTTAACTTGCATTAACTTATCTATTTATTTATTTATTTAAAAGATTTTATTTCTTTATTGTTAGAGAAGGAGGGAAAGAGAGCACAAGCAGGAGGAGTGGCAGGCAGAGGGAGAGGGAGAAGCAGACTCTCCGCTGAGCAAGGAACCTGATGTGGGACTCAATCCCAGACCCCTGAGATCGTGACCTGAGCCAAAGGCAGACGCTTAACTGCCTGAGCCACTCAGGTGTCCCACATTAACTCATTTAATCCTAACAATGAGCCTATCTGCCCATTTGATGGATGAAAAAAATGTGTATAGAATAGTTTTTAAGTATGTGTCCTTTGGAATAGTCAGGTCCAGGAGGCTATGTGGTATACTGGTTATGAGCAGGAGTTAAGGACTTGAACTGTTTTAGTTTTAGTGACTATCTATTGGAGAAATTATTTAACTTCCCTCTGCTTTACTTTACTAGTGTATAAAAGGGGAAGAATTATATAGTACTTACCTTATTGGATTTTGTGAGGAATACATGAGGTACTCTCTCTTTCTCTCTCTCACGCGCAAATAAATAAATAAATAAATAAAACCTTTAAAAAGAGAAACAGTAAATACAACCCCTGAGTCTGGACATGTAGATTACTGAGTGACAGTGGTCACAAAGAAAATGTGGTGAGGGCATAACCAGGACTCAAGATGGGTCTAATGAGAGCTTGGAGATGCCAGGGAGCAGGATCTGGATTGGGCACTTGTTCCTGGGTCATCATGTCCAGTTTTCTAACCCCCATGGTGATACAGGAGAAGTTTTGGGTGGTCCATGATGTGATGAATCAAAAGGGCATATGACATAAAGCCAATGAGATAGATACCTCTGAGGGTTAGTGAGATAGGAAACGGCTTCACTGTTGTACTACTGATTTATTTCTTAACTTCAGAAGGGAGAGGCCGATGCCATGACTTTGGATGGAGGCTTCATCTACACAGCGGGGCAGTGTGGTCTGGTGCCTGTCCTGGCAGAGAACTACAGTAAGTGGGAGGGGGGTGCCTGTCAGTGTTTTATTTTCTCTGGGCCATGGACATAACAGCATGGACATAGAAAGAAGGAGAAATGATCTAGTTCATTGTTGAGATAACAATTAACTATGGGAGAGGCTAGCAGATAGTATCCTCCTTCCCCAGAATCAGAACCAATGAAGATATGGACACAGGAGTTAGGCAGAAAGAGATGAAAAGAGATGTTTATTACCGAAAAGGTGATATTGGAGGTCATGGTACAGAGCTGGCCTCAGGGCTCGCCAAATTGCCCTGGAATTAGAGTTACCCACTAGTTCAGGAGAACAGGTCTGTTGGCTTACCCTGGCTGAAGGCAGAGGAGAATGCATATTGTCATAGAGCATCATTGAAAAGATCTAAACCACCCTCTCCCCACTGTTTAATGAAGAGGGGCACAGCCACATGTGCCTCGTTCAATACTTTTGCTAAATTTACTAGTCCAAAATTAACTCACCCCAGCTGCACTGGAATGTTGAGGGGTGAGGCTACAAGGTCATGTTCTTCAGTGGGGACCCTTTCACATAAAAACAAATAAAGCTGGGGAAAAGAAGATTTCGCCAATATAATTTATCAAGCTCCTCATCTGTTAGGCAGTGAGCAAGAAACCATTATCCTTCAAACAAAACAACTCTGTGAAGTAAATAATGGTAACTCCATTTTACTGATATGAAAACTAAGAGTTGTACTGATATAAAAACTCTTATAAAAACTTCTCTAAGCTTAGAGAAGTTGAATGAGTTGTCCAAGGTAGAATGATATCCAGGTTTTCTGACTCCATGGGCCGTTTTTTTTTTCCCTCCAGCATAGCAAGAACATAATGATTGCCTACCACAATCCAGAGCTCTGAAGGGAAGGAAGATGTCAGGATGGCTTGAATCACACAGCTAATGCAAAACGATCTTTTCCAGATCTTCAGTAGTCTCTGCCCCTCTTCAAAGGGCCTCTCCTTTTCTTTCTCTGCAACTCCCTGAGTGTTGGGGAGATTCTGGGGCAGAACCTGATGTTCAAATGGCAAAGGTCAGGGAGAGGGGTTAAATGGGCCTGCAGAATCTTGGCTTGTTGAGAACCAGTGACAAACTGCTTAGCTGGTTTCTTATTTCATTCCTCACTCTTGAGACTGAGAAGCTCATGACTTTGGGTTGAGCAATATGAGAGCTTAATGGCATGTATACCGATTGCTTTTCTTTTCAGTGCCTACAGATGGGTCTACGTGTGTAAATACACCCGTGGCAGGTGAGTCAGCATCAGTAACACTGGGGCTCAAAGGTAAAGGCCATCGTTGGGGAGAGGGTGAGAAAAATCTTAAAAATGAAGCAAAGTGACTAGAGTTGTAAAAAATAAAATAAAAACAAGGAGGATGAGCTACCAGCACTACGGCTTATTGTTAAGGAGCAGATGTGTCACAAAGCTGTGGTTCTTCACAGACAACGAAGGACTCCTGCTTGCACTCTTCCCATTTACTCTCCTCAGCTGTCCTCCAGGCTGTGGGCGTCATTATCCTGTGTGGATGGGGAAAGTGAGGCCCAGGGCCATCAGCCAGGGAGTGGCTGCCCCTGGGCTTGAGAAGAGGTGGTGTGACTGGAAGCACCTTGCCCTTCCTGATACACCACCTTACTCCTTGCCACGTGCTGCCTGCCCTTCTCTGCCCCAGGAGGCAGGAGCCCATTCCTGGCACTTCTGGGCCAAGTGGAGGCTTCAGGATAGGAGAGTCCCCGCTGCTCTAGCGAAGAAGAGGGGGAAAATGAGCTCTACCTTTTAGCTTTCAGCCAGCTGACTGTAACAGCGGAGGCGTCCATCTTGTCTTTAGAATAGACGAGGTGACAGGTTCTCCCGTCTGTGTGTCTACATAGGCAGGGAGGGTCTGGATCTGTCCCTGAGTACGTAATCTTGGCAAAACAGAGCAGTATTTCTCAATCCAGTGTAGTGCCTGGACTGGCTGCATCAGCATCACCTGAGAACTTGTGAGAAATGCAAATTCTTGGGCTCCACCCAAATTCATCGAGTCCAAGGATGGGGCCACTGCTCTGTGTTTTAACAAGCCCTCCAGCTAACTCTGATGCACACTGGGGTTTGAAAACAACTGTGGTGGAGGGTCCTGGGATTAAAAACAGGTGCTCACTTGGGTTTGGCCTTTCTTATGGGACAGGTAAACTGGGGGAGGTGGGTGGGTTTCGGCCACCACAGCACCAGTGGGAGCTCCGGTCCCTGCTGAGCACAGGGTCACAGAAGCCCTGCAGGCCCACACCCCACCAAGTCTTCTAGAGTGCAGAGCTGCTCCCCTGCAGCAGCTCTCCTCCATGTGCCACAGGACCCAAGCCCCAGGATATGCTGTCCCTGTCCCCCTCTGCTTTTATGGCTAACAGTGTTCAGTGAGTTGTATCATCATCCCCAGCCCTAAGGGCTGGCATTTCATCAGCCATGCAGTCTATTGAGTATAGAATATGTGAAGTCAGAAAGAACTCCGCTTCAAGAATGGTTGAAATTTCCAGGAACTGCAGTGATACACAAATGCAAGTCACCAAAGATGCTTAGAAGACAGTTCAGGGTGGCTGGCTGAGAAGGAGAAAGTTAGATTTGAATAGAGACAGAGGGGGATCAACTCCAAAGACAAAGACACACCCACCCACACACACCCACACACACACACACACACCCCAGATGGCAATAATTAATGCCATTTGTGCAGAATTAGTTACACCTTCAGAAAGGCACTGTAATAGTATTTGGCTCCCAGAACGGTGTAATAGAGCACAGTCTGGTAAGCCAGGGCTAGCTGTGGCTTCAGGAGAATCTGCTTCACTGAGAGAGGGGCTCTGGTACTGCTTGTGCCACTAGCAGCATGGTTGGAAACCCAACAACGTAACCTCCCCGTCATACCCTAATCTACAATGTGCCCATATAAGCACATCTGATCCCCCGAAAATCCCCCTGGACGGGTATCATTGTCACCATTTTACTGAGGAGAAGCTGAGGATCCTAGACACTAAGTGACCTGTCCTAGGAAGTAACTGGCAAGGCAGGTCTTCCACCTGCCACATTCACTTCCAATTTTTCCAGGTTTGACTATGTAGAAACCCAAACCATGATGGCAAGAAAGGAAGTGTAGTAGGGAGGGGGGTTTGGAGTGGTGGTGGAGGACCACATTATCATCTAGTTCTGAAGATTTAGGATTCTAGTTTTCTTATAAATTCAGATACACTCTTTAAGCCTCCATCAAAATGTATAATTCAGTTACAGAGTATTGGGATAAGAATATACCAAATATCCATTGTGTTCCATTAGAATCAAGAACATGAGAAGAAGTCTCACTCCTACCAAAGACACTTGGTATTACTTTGCAAGTGAATGCAGTATGACTAAAAAGATTAGAAACATATTTTTAATATTGGAGAAAAAAGATTAAATTGTCACTATTAGAAAATGATGTTATAAATCTAGAAAATCAGAGACTTTAAAAAAGGAGTTATTAAAGCTCTTTCTTTTGGACTTCAACAGAAATATTTCAACAGGTACACATATGTATGTACAAGATTTACATAGATAACTTGTAATATGGCAAAGTTGGTCACAACGGAAGTGGCCACCAGTAGGGGGATTACAAAATATGGCACTTCCATATAGTGGAACATAACATAGATTCAACCAGTAAACAGAATGGGACAGCTGCATCTACTTTTGCTGAATCAGTTTATCATTGAGGGAGAATAAAGCATCTTTCAGTAAAGTATATACAGCAGGAGTCCACTGAAAAATATGTGTAAATATTTCTGGATGCATATATGTAGACACATCCAGAGAGCAGTAGTGTCAGACTGTTTGGCCCCATACCTAATAATGATAATTATTGGGAGAGTATTCTGCTAGAGCAAGGTGAGGGGTTCAAGCTACTCCCCCTCCCCTGGGAGAGTGGCAGGCAGAGACTAACTGTAGCAGCTCTAGAAGACATTTTCAGAAGATCCTGGAGCTACTGAAATTGCATTTTGATATCTCTGTTGCAAGGTCATTATGTCGTGGCAGTGGTTAAGAAATCAGATCCGTACTTCACTTGGGACTCTCTGCAAGGCAAGAGGTCCTGCCACCCCGCGGTTGGTACTTCCGCAGGCTGGATCATCCCCATGGGTTTAATATACAACAAAACCGGGTCCTGTAAATTTGGTAAGTGTGTTCTGGGAGGCAGTGCGGCAGCCCCTTCCTTTGGCCTGTACCTGTATTGTACAGGAGTTCAGTTCAATGGCAAGGAATGTCAAGGGATGGCATGAATGGGTAGGGGGGGTCAAGTGCTGGGCAGACATTACAGGTGAGCTTCGCCTCTCCTTGAGCAGGTGCTCCCCCTTCTTCTCACCTCCTTACTTCTGAAGGGAATGGCTTGGTCCAATGGGCAGATATCAGGGAAATGCCCTACTCCTTATGTGTTACAATGGGCTCAGGGAACAAGCCTGGGTTGCATAGCAAGAGTGGTGTGTGTGTGTGTGTGTGTGTGTGTGTGTGTGTGTGTATTGTTTTCCCATATAAACCAGATTCGTTGTTTTGTAAAAACCGAAAACTATATACCAGTAAGTCCTTGAGTGCTTTTTCACTTGCATCCTTATCTCCTTCAGATTCTCGTATTTGTCATTTTAGCAGTACTCTTGCCAGTACCTAAAAGTCTCCTGGTGCCCTGCTTTTCCCAGCCATCTGACAAACCCCACCTCTGCACAAACACCATTACCTGCTCTCTTCACTCTCTGCACCTTGGCAGCTAAACATGGCTGGAGAAGTCATGGGGTAGAACAGTTCATTCCACTGGAAATGGTCCAGCTACTGGCCTCAGCGGGCCTCTCGCAGTCACACCCAAACTGTGTCGCTGCTCCACACCCCCACACTTCCCAATAATTACCCTAATGTCCTCATTGTCCACACATTTCCAGCCCACACCCATCTACCACCCTTTCTCAGCACATGACTCATCTCAGCTGTAATAGACATCAGAAACGGTCAAAGTTTCCCCCCTCACCATCCCACTGCCAAAGCTGTGGGCTCCTCATGACTGTATCTGCTCAGCCTCCCCTGACCTATACTCTGGGTATAGGCGCCTCCCCTTCTCTCCTCCCTAGAGCCTTATACCCTTGGTTACTAGTTCTCTGTCTGGTATAGCCAACAATTTCTTTCAACATTAAACATCCCCAGTGTTTTCCATCTTTTAAAGTCTTCCTTCTCCCAGCAGTCTCGCCGAGCTTCTGATTTGTTTCTCCTCCTCCTTGCTGCCAGACTTCTTAGCAGCATGGTCTGAGCCACTCATCTCCCACTCACTCCTCCACTCCCTGTCCTCTGGCTTCTCTGCATCATTCCATAGGAACAACTCTGTTCAAGGCTACTGGTGATCTCCATGTTGCTCAGTTGGAAGGTCTTGCTCCAGTCCATTCCTCTATGACCTCTCTTTCTTCAGATCACCTTAAAACACTATCTTCTGACTTCTGTGAAAATGCTGGTTTGATTTTTCTTATACCCCTACAAAGTCCCCTTTCCCAACCTGGTTAATAAATGTTTCAATTGCTTAAAGCAGCTTTCTTCCCCCACTCTAAACCCAATCCTCAGGCAATCACATCCATGCCTACAGCCTCATTTGCCATCTAAACAAATAATATGGGCATCTGGGTGGCTCAGTTTGTTAAAGGATGTCTTCAGCTCAAGTCATGATCCTGGAGTCCCAGGATCGAATACTGGATCAGGGTCCCTGCTCAGCAGGGAGTCTGCTTCTCCCTGTGACCCTCCCCTGTCTTGTGCTCTCTCTCTCTCTCTCTCTCAAATAAATAAATAGAATCTTAAAAAAAAAAAACAAATCCTGTTAAACATTAAAAACTAGGCACATAGCCAGCTCTAAATAAATGTTTGCTATTATCACTATTATTAATATTATATCTATATGTTGATAACTGTTGTGTCTTTATCCCTAGCACAGATCTCTCTTTGACCTCCACACCTGTGTATACTGAACTGGCTATTTGACATTATCTAGTTATTATCAAAAAAAGTCATTATCAAAAGACATTAAGCTCAAAACAGAATATATCAGCTCCACTGAGTCTGCTCCAGAGCTGTCTAGCTCAATGGAGGACCCTACAGTCCATCCACTTGCCCTAGCAGGAAACCAAGCTGTCATCCTCCATGTACCCATCCATCACCAGTGATGTCCCTCTCCACTGTCTCCCTCCCCTTGTGCTACTCTAGTCCAAGCTGCCCTCACCTCTCCTGGACTATTACAGTAACCTGCTGCCTGCACCCCACATCTGCCCTGGATTCCATTCATCCCACTGGCAGACCAGTCCTTGCGAAGCACACATCTGGCTATATCTGGCCCACAACTCCTGTCCCAGCATTGCTGTAGCCCTTCAGAAGCTCCTCATTTCTCTAAGGAAAAAGAACAAAATTTACACAAAGGTGTAAAAGTGGGTCTGGACCTTGCCTCCTCTCCACTCACTCTTGCACTGGGTGGTCTAGCCCAATGGCCTCTTACTAACCTTTCTGTGATCTTTGCCCCCACCCCCACCCCTGCCCTGGGCCTTCACAGATGCTGCTCCCTGTCTGGGAAACGCTTGTCCTTTCACCCTTCACTTAAGTAATTGCTATTCATTCTTCCTCTCTCAACTTGAAGTCTCTCCCCTATTCCTAGGTCTGTACAAGATTCCTTTATGTGAAGCTGTATAGAACATATTCTTTCCCATTGCAAGCTGGGGTTGGGGATATAAATTCACTAGTGTGGCTACTTGAGTTATGACTGTTGTTCATGGGCTTGGGTTCCAGGAGCATGGGGCCTGTGTGATGTCCTCACCATAGTGCCCTGGGGCCCAACATGGGGCTTGGCATCTGGGCCTCTTGGCTGTTTCCTGGATTTGGAGTCAAGATGAAATATCTTATAAGGGAGGGCAAGGGCGGCAGAGGTCAGGAAAAATGTGGGAGAGGTTCGACTGGGTGGGCTTTCAGTTTTGTTCTCTCTCTGTTAGGATTACATCTGTGTGTATACTTCCAAACCTCCACCCGGTGCCACTTCTGTTCCACAGACCCTTGTCCCAACTTCAGCCAGTCCCCATTTACTTTGCTCTAGTTGCAACTTTTTTTTTATTCTGTAATGTTCTTATTTGTAATAATATGGTACCAAATCCCTGAATGTGTCTCTACATCATTCAAGGAATTCTAGGGACAAAATCGGAGGCTTTCTTGCTAACATAGGTGAGAAGAGCTGACCTACTGTGTTTTCCTGCACAGATGAATTCTTCAGTCAAAGTTGTGCCCCTGGGTCTGACCTGGATTCCAGGCTCTGTGCTCTGTGCAGTGGTGGCAGCAGCCCAGGCCACACCTGTGCTCCCAACCACCACGAGAGATACTATGGCTTCAGCGGGGCATTCAGGCAAGTAGTGTCTGTGCACCACCTTTTTCTTGGGCACCAACCCAGTGAACCTCTTGTCCTTTCATCTTTTCTATCACCCCAGGATCTGGCTGCTGCATTTAGGAAGAACCAGAATTAGAAAATAGAACCCTAAATTCCCACTGGCCCCAAGGTGTCAAGCCCAGCTCCTTTCTGGAGCGCTTTTCTGCAGATCCAGCTGACTTAGGGTGCCTGAGGAGAAGCAAGAATGAGGGGTGCAGGGTCACAACCCTGGGTCCACTTTTTTTCTTTTCTTTGCAATTGTGGACAGGTCACAGAATCTTTCAGAGCCCCAGTTTAAAATCAGAGGATGGGCACTCGACCTGTGCTTCTTACACCTGGCTGATGAGTACATTTAAAAAATAGATATTCCTGGGCTCCTTCAGCCCTTCAGGAAACTTTATTGAGCAACTATTAATGTGGCAGGCACTGGTCTAGGTAGAGGGGTCATAGCAGCAAGACACAAGTAGCTCCCTTGCCCCCCGCATCTCAAGAGGGTAGGACAATGAACATAAACAAGGGCCACTCACTTCCTGACTGTGCTAACTGCTACAAAGAAACCAAGGTGGGGTGGTGTGGTAGTGACTTGGGTAGGGGACAGTTTTGGAAATGGTGGTCAGAGAAGGCCTCGAAAAGCAGGACTGTGTGAGCTGAGAATTAAATATTGGAAGGGGATCAGGCCTGAGAAAAGCTGGAGGAAGGGTATCAAGGAAGAAGGAACAGCCAGGACAAAGGCATGAAGCAGGGCAAATCATGTTGTGTTGAGGCCAGAACAGAAGGCCCTGAAGGGGGGGGACATGGCGGGTGGGGGCATGGGTGTGCACAGGTTGGAGCTGAGGCACTGGATATGTCTTAGTGCCCTATCGGCCTGACCAAGGAGGTAGAGTTAATTCTAAGTACGCTGGAGGCATGCTGTGTGAATCGGGGTTGCGTGGCAACTGGAGAACACGTGAGCATCTAGGATGGACTCCTTTATTTGTCACACTGCCAGACGACTTTGTCCTGCCATCTCCAAAGTTGTGTCTCTTTCATAAGCCATACATAATGACATATTTTCAGATTCTACAACATCAATGTACACTGAACATGAAACCTAGGCTAAAATAGGGTTGGTTTTTGTTTTTTGTTTTTTACATCGCAAAATACTTTGGCATTAGGGTTGATGGTCTTACTGGTGCTAATATGATAATATCAGAGAGGACTTAGAATTGTCAGAGCTTTGTCTTGAAACAAAACTCGCCCTCTTCCTCAAACGAAGTTCAACACCCACAGAACAATCTTAGCTTCAGATGGCTCGTTATCTCCACCACCTCCTACCTGCATTTCCGCTCCCATGGGTTTCCTGGCTCCAACAGATCTTCATTCCTACTGACTTGTGCCCCACCCACCCTGCCAACTCTTCCCTGTTCTCTCCCTGCTTCATATTCCTCTCCCCTCCACACCCAGCATACATTCCACAGCCAACCACAATAATCATTCCTCTGTGCATAGCCTCAAGTGCCTATCCCTCTGCTGGCGAAAGCACCAGGCCTTGCTTAGGTCTCACATTCCACCACTAGGCGTCTGCACTGCTGGGGTGCCAGGCCTCCCTTTACAGTAAGGAGAACGTACCTCAAATGTGCACGTGTGCCTAGTGCCTTCACCACCCACTCTTCTAGAAGATGAGTCCATCCTCTGTCCTCTCCTCAGTCCTCCAACACATCTGCCTCCATCTGTCATGCCTTTGTTTCCTACTTCACCAGAGAAAATTGAAGCAATACAAGGAAATGCCACAACGTCCCACTGCCACATCTAACCCACTGCCCTCCCTCCGTTTGCATGGGCTACCTGGCTGTCTTTTAGCTCAGCCCTGTCCCATGTCTGCACCAGCCTCTCCTCCAGCCTGGTCAAGAGCTTTGCTTGGCATTTCTCCTCTCTTCCTGCTGCACCATCGCAGGATTTTCTCTACTAGGTCATTTCCACCAGCATCCACACATGATGCTGTTTTTTTTCACCTTAAACATCAATAAATAAGTAAAATCTTTCTTGATCTCACTTCCCTCTCCAGCAACTTCCCATTTCTCTCCTTCTCTATATCCCCCTTTCTTGTTTTATTTTTTAGCACTTTTCACTCTCTAGAATACTATATATTTTATGTACTTGTTTAATGTCTTTTTTCCTTTAATGAGATGAATAAAATCTCCTTTGTTGAAAGTGAAAAAAACCCAAAGAGCTTCCTCTTTAGAAGGCGTGAGACTGGAGCCTTGGGAGTGAGCCAAGATACTTTAAGGTGAGAGTTGCCAGATAAAATTTAGGACATCCAGTTAAATTAGAATTTCAGATAAACAATGAATGAATGCTTAGTATAGGGGAACCCACTCCTCCTCCCCCCTTCTTCCTCCTCCTCTCCCCACTTCCTCCTCCTCCTCCTTCTCCTTTTCTTCTTCTCCTTCTCCTCCTCCTCCCTCTCTTTTCTTCCTCTTCCTTTTTTCTCTAAAGAAGAGAGATGCCTCATTTTCTTTCCCCGCAGGATGGTTTTCTGTTTCTCAGCCTACATGGAAGGAAATGTCTGTGACTGGCATTATTACAGCTTCTCATTTATAAAGAAGCAGTCAAACACAGACCATAATGTATTCATCCCAATTCCCAGGAAATGGGATTGTCAGCCTATTTCCAATGAAAGCTTCATGTTCACACAACTCATGCAGCGAAGTTCCATTGTAAAGTTTTAGCTGCCTCCACTGTGACCAGATAGATTGGGAGGGATGGGGGAAAGGATTCAGTTCTCAAAGTATTAATGTTTGGTAATCCAAACAAGAGTCAAGAATTTTTAAATTAAATTATACAAGGGGAATTTTGTTTTCCTAGATATAAAAATCACATTATAATACTGTATAATACTTTAATACTATGATCAGTACAGACAGGTTTGTGTGCAAGAATGACAAATCAATGGAGGAGATTAGACTTCAAAGACTTATACATGGACACATTATATTCAGTGTATAACAAAGATAATATTTCAAACTGGGGAAAAGATGAACTTGAGAGAGCAAATAAAATGAGTGTGGCAAAGTGGCTCCTGGATCTGGTGGGAGCAGATTCAATAGTGAGTCAATCCCAAAAGCTGACTGGCAGGGGTCAGTGAGGGTGGTGTGAAGGGGTGCTGATTGCAAGGGCAAAGATTCCTTTTAGGTGTTTGGATGAGTGTGGGAGGGAAGCCATTGCTGAGGGCAGTGTGGGATCAAACAGGGATTATTGATTTTCAAAAAAGAAAAGAGGTATATGAATGCTGATAAAAAGAGCCCAGTGATCAGGGAAAGACTGCAATTACATAAGAGAAAGAGGATAACTATCAGAAGGTGCCTGAGAGTGTGGGCGGGGATGGGATGCAGGGCACCTAGAGGGGCACTTTTGCCGAGAGAGACCTTCACTCCTTCTTTGTGTCTGGAGGGCAGGAGAAGAGCACTGGAGACTTGGGCTGACAGATTTGGCAGAGGGAGGCTGGAAGAAAGCCCACGTGATGATATCTGTGTTTTCTCTGGGAAGCAGGAGCACATGTCAGAGTGAGTGTTGAGGAGAGGGTATGTGGTGAGACAGAGGCATGCGGGAATTTGGAAAACATTTTAGTAATTGCTCTATGGAGTGGAGAGGTGGCTATCTCAAATAGTGGTTCTCACCACTAGAGCACAGATTCTCCTAGGGTGCTTGTTAAAACACAGCTTGCTGGGCCCCACACCCAGAAATAGGTCTCGGGTGGGGCCCAAGAGTGTGCATTTCTGACGGATTCACAGCTGGTTCCAATGCTGCTGATCCCAGCCCACACGTTGAGAACCACAGATCTAAAGTAGATGGAGGAAAGCAGGAATGCCCAGGAGAAGTTAATGATCAGGAGAGTCTCTGGTCTGCCTCCCTACTAGGGTACAGATATACCTGAGGCAGACTGTCATATGTATTCAGGACTGGGATTATATGAAGGACAGGAAGAAGAAAGAAATAGGGCAAAGGGAGTTTAGGAAAATTGAATGGGAGTAATTGACCATAGCTAAGTATAGAGGGACCTGAAGTTAGGAGAGAGAGAAAACTGGAGAGGTGCTCCTGATAATTGATCACTAATGTCAGTTGCCAACCGATTGGATGTCCTAGAACTGATTGCTAATGCGTTCGACATTTCTCATAAAGAATGGACCTTAGGGGCACCTGGGTGCCTCAGTGGGTTAAAGCCTCTGCCTTCAGCTCAGGTCATGATCCCAGGATCCTGGGATCAAGCCCCGCATCAGTCTCTCTGCTCGGCAGGTAGCCTGCTTCCCCCTCTCTCTCTGCCTCCCTCTCTGCCTACTTGTGATCTCTGTCTGTCAAATAAATAAAATCTTAAAAAAAAATCCTACAAAAACAGCAAACTGTGTATACTTAAAAAAAAAAAAGAATGGACCTTCTGCAATTAAGTGTGAACACATACCTAGTGATGCACATTCACTAGTGATCATTAAGACTGACTAGACATTGATTTTAATCTCTGGTGTGAGTTTTGATCCAACCAGAGAGTCATCCTTGAATATCCCTGTTCATAGGAGAACACAAACATCTCCTCTGGAGAAACCAATCAGTATTTAAAACAAGGAACGAAACAGTGGTTATCTACAATAGGAAAAAAATAAACAGGTTTCTTTTTTCGATTACATTTCCCCTCTAATTCTCAGGGACAGTCCAAGTGTTACAGTTGTGTGTGTGTGGATGTGGCCAGTGTTCGTTGTGGTTCTAGTGGAGGGTGAATGAGCCTCTAGGTGATTCTCTCTGGGCGTCTTTCCCTCCCGCTCCTGTTGACGCTCCTCACTGACCTGACCCTTGCTGTGCAGGTGTCTGGTTGAAAAGGGAGACGTGGCCTTTGTGAAGGAGAGCACAGTCTTCCAGAACACTGATGGTATGTGCCTGTGCTGTCATTTCCTCCCTTGGAAAAAATCTGAGTCTGTCCTGGAAAGTCACTCCCAGTCAGACAACTGGGGAAGTTTATTAAAGAATGGCTGACTCTCTTCATGTATAGGCATTCCTTATATATTCTGGATACTTTTTGTCTGCTATATGTATTGACAATATCTTGTTTCTCTCTGAAAGGTTTACCTTTGCATTTTCTTAATGGTGTCTGATGAACAGACATTTTAATGTTTAATGTAGTTCAACTTATCAATCTTCTTTCTGCCTGTTGCTTTTTCAGGCCTGTTAAAGAAATATTTGCCTTTAACAGGACTGAAAACGCACTAACTGGAAAGGCTATGAATTTATAACCATGAATTTTTCTCTTTCTTCTGATTTATTTTTAAAGTTTTGTTATTTCATTTTCCTGTGTCTCTGTGATTCTCCCAGACATTGGTAGTTGGTCACATCCCCCCAAGGAGGGCACTATGACCAGAGCTGTCAGCTGTGGCTGACTGGCCTTCCTTCTCCCCAGGCAAGAACCCTGAAGCCTGGGCTAAAGATCTGAAGCAGGAAGACTTTGAGCTGCTGTGCCTCGATGGTACCAGGAAGCCTGTGACTGAAGCTCGAAGGTGCCACCTGGCCATAGTCCCAAATCATGCTGTGGTCTCAAGGAAAGATAAGGCAGATTTTGTCCACAGGATACTCTTCAATCAACAGGTTTGGGCACACAGAAGGTCCTTCCACATATCCCCCAAACTGAGTGCTCAGATCACCTCCAGAGCTGACAGGCACACCCAGCCCAGTCTCATATCCATTCTCCCTGGGCAGTGGAACAGATTCTCACAGCTCTGCATCTGATGAAATCAGAAAGCTAGCTGGTGGCTATGTTCACTTTGTGCTCTGGGGCTGTCTAGGATATCAAAGTGGACTGAAAGAGCCTTGGACACATGAGTATCTGAAGGGTCTTCCTGAGGCTAACTTTCCTCCCTGAACAGACTCCTGGTACCTCTTGGACTTGTTCAGTCCCTCCATGAGAGTTGTCTCTTGCTTCTTCTGTCATAGAAATAAGGGAGATGGCTTAGTGCCTGTCACACAAGGGTGAGGAGGTATATGTGGCAAAAGCAGAAAGGAGGCTACTCTACCTGACTTAGGGTAGGTCCCAATGCATTACTGAACCTGGGCAGGCTGAGCATTGTTTTAGGCTTCCTGAAAGTTCAAGAGCCAACATTCAGACAATTCATGACTTCTACAGGCAGCCAACAAGGGCTATGAAGTAGCAGGATGCCTAATTCAAATGATCTTAAGAAAACCCAAAGCCTCATCTGCCTTTCAGCTTCGTATACCCCATTCCTGGAAGACCCCTGTATGAGTAATCCCTGTGTTAGCATATGCTGCCCACACGTCCCAGTTAGAGGACTACAACCCAGGGAGAACTGGCAAAACAAAAGGCTCTTGGTTAGGGACACTTGAAGGCATGTGTCTCCCAAAACACAACTTGCCCCTTGGCTGTCCGGGGCTGAACAAAGAAAAAGAGAGGAGGGGAAGAAAAGATGGAAATGTCAAGTGCCTGGGGCAAATCTAGAGTATAGAAGAGGCCAAGGCAGCAAGGGCTTTGGGCAGTGGAAGACAGGTCGCACGACCCAGGAAGTTGAAAATATCCAGCAATGACAGGCAGAATTGTGATACTGTGGCCACAAAACTCGACGCTTCTTCTTTTTTTTTTTTTATTACATTTCTTTTTTTTTTTTTTTAAATTTCTTTTCAGCGTAACAGTATTCATTGTTTTTGCACCACACCCAGTGCTCCATGCAATCCGTGCCCTCTCCAATACCCACCATCTGGTTCCCCCAACCTCCCACCCCCTGTCCCTTCAAAACCTTCAGGTTGTTTTTCAGGGTCCATAGTCTCTCATGGTTCACCTCCCCTTCCAATTTCCCTCAACTCCCTTCTCCTCTCCATCTCCCCATGTCCTCCATGTTATTTGTTATGCTCCACAAATAAGTGAAACCATATGATACTTGACTCTCTCTGCTTGACTTATTTCACTCAGCATAATCTCTTCCAGTCCCGTCCATGTTGCTGCAAAAGTTGGGTATTCATCCTTTCTGATGGAGGCATAATACTCCATAGTGTATAGGGAAGCTTCTTTTATTAAGCAGTTACTTTATGTACATTATCTCCATTTACAAATGAGTAAACCGAGGTTCACTGAGCTCAGTAAAGAAGTTTCCTAAAGTCACGTGACAAGGAAAAGCTAGGGCCACGATTTGAACCCAGAGGCCATGCTTTTTGCCATTCATGGTACCTCTGAGACTGTTACTGTGTCCCAGGTCTCCCAGGGGCTGGAGCTGAGCAGTGCAGCAGACTTACATCTTTTGAGGCAGAATACACAACCTTGTGCTTCTTGGCGCTCCTGCTCACTCTCTGTCTGTCTGATGCAGGAACTCTTTGGAAGAGATGGGTTTGAATACAGGATGTTCCAGATGTTTCAGTCGTCAACTAAGGACCTGCTCTTCAGCGATGACACGGCATGTTTAGCTAACCTTCAGGACAAAGCAGCCTATCGAAAATACTTAGGACCAGAGTATCTTACGACAATTGCTAACATGGGACAATGCTTACACTCTGGTGAGTAGAATAAAACACTAAGGAACAATACCATGGTGGGGGGCAGGAGAATATGTTTAAGGACCATTGTGTGCCAAGTCTTGGGCCAGTACTGATAGGAGAACAAAGATGGAGAAGGCTTGCTCCTGGCCCTGCAGGAGGATGCGAGGCTACACTGTCAATTAGACAACAGTGTAAGAGAATACCTGAAAAAAGACCAAATCGTTTAAAGGAGACAGAGAGTGCAATTGAGATCGTTTGGAAACTGAACATGTTTACTTGTGCATTTCCATTTTTTTCCTAACAAAATGAAAAGGTACACATGTGTGAGTCCTTCATTGTAGGGAGAGTGTTGGGAAATGACCCCTATATATCACTCATAGAGGATCAATTTTGAAAGATTTCTTTTTAAAGATTTTATTTATTTATTTCACAGACAGAGATCACAAGTAGGCAGAGAGGCAGACAGAGAGAGAGGGGGAAGCAGGCTCCCTGCCGAGCAGAGAGCCTGATGTGGGGCTCGATCCCAGGACCCTGGGATCATGACCTGAGCCGAAGGCAGGGGCTTTAACCCACTGAGCCACCCAGGCGCCCCCAATTTTGAAAGATTTTAAGTACAATGTATAAATAATATTAATAGAAACTATAACTATACTTAGCACTATAGTGTTTCCTTTCTAGTTATATACACACACACACACACACACACACATATATATATACACATATATATATATATTTTTTCAAATGGCATAATGTGTGAATAGTATAGTTGCCTAAAAAAGGATTAAATTGGAGAAATAAAATTAGAGCTGGGATAATCAAATTGCTGGGAGCGTGCCTGAATTTTTGTTGAATTATATCGTATGTTGAAGATGATGAAAGTAAAAGGAATGGAAAATATATTTAAGGATAGCACTGACATCAGTTAGGAGAAACAGAGACAGAGAGAGAGTGAGAGAGAGAGAGAGAGAGATAGAATTAAAAAAAATCGGGCACCAGGGTGGCTCAGTCAGTTAAGTGGCTGGCTTCAGCTCAGGTCATGATCCCAGAGTCCTGGGATGGAGCCCAGCATCAGGCTCCCCAATCAGCAGGAGCCTGCTTCTCCCTCTCCCTCTGCCTGCTGCTCTGCCTACTTGTGATCTCTCTCTCTCTCTCTGTCAAATAAATAAATAAAGTCTTTTTTTTTTTTTAAAGATTTTATTTATTTATTTGACAGAGATCACAAGTAGACAGAGAGGCAGGCAGAGAGAGAGAGAGGGAAGCAGGCTCCCTGCTGAGCAGAGAGCCCGATGCGGGACTCGATCCCAGGACCCTGAGATCATGACCTGAGCCGAAGGCAGCGGCTTAACCCACTGAGCCACCCAGGCTCCCTAAATAAATAAAGTCTTTAAAAAAAATCATTACCTAGCATTTACTTTTAGAAAACAGGTATAGAAATGTGTTTAGTAAGCACAGGAAGTACCTGAAAGTCTGTTTTTTATGTTTTGCTTCACAGAACTTCAGGACGCCTGTACATTCCATGCACATTAAAAACTGATCAAAGTGGGCAACCACGGAAATGCTCAGTGCCTGCAAATATGTGTGGGGACACATCTCACTTGTCTGCATGTGGGCCTTTGTTAACTTCAGTTGTTTTATATAATTATGTGCTGTAACTGATACAAAATTAAAGTGAACAGAAATTACAATGAATAAAAATTATTGTGTCTGCTCAGAAAACTTCATTATATGTCCTCAGATTTTTTGAGGGGAGAAAACTATGTCTTTATACTAGAGTTATGCTTCTAAATTAAATATCTATTAAATTATACCTTTTAAAAAAATGTACCAAACAAGCTCGTCTTCCCTCCCTATTCTTTAATTTACTCAAGAGTTGAGTCACCTATATAGAATTGAAGCAATAAATCTGTCAGAAGTGAGTCTGAGTGGTGATTACAAGTGTGCAAAAAAATGCATTAGTATGTGCAGTATCGAGGACTTACACAATAAAAACAAGGGATAAAGAATGAGTTTGTTTATTTTAAAAATATATTTGAACATTTAAAATTCATAATGTCAAGGGGAATAAAAATCCTGACCCAGATTACTTGGAAGACATTAAAATTACTACAAAAATCTAACCCTACTACCTACTGACTCAATTAAGGGTTTCTTATCAGAGACTTTGCCATATCATGTGTTATCATACTTGCAGCTTGTGGTAGTGCCTTAATAAATATTGACTGGGACCCTAAGTTACATATTGTTAAATGTTAGTTTCATGAGTGTGGATTTCTGCTTATGTCTGTGAAAAAGTAACCAGTACAGGACTTGCCCTCCTTCCCTAAACAATTAAAAAACTGACAAAGTATATGAAACAACTGTTTTCAAACATTGGACAATAGCAGCACAGGACTCTGGTCCCTGAGATAAGGGAAAGAAAAGAGGTAAGCAGAATGATGACCCTACTTTTTGCCTGGAGGAAATTTCCAGATGATGGCACAGGGAGGGGGAACCCAAGAAAGCCTGTCACATTAGTTGAGGAAACAGATAAAAGCTTGGAGAGAAGCAAGATGACTGGAGTTTGTATACAGAAGACATCTCTAGAAGAGTCCCCTTGAATGTTTGGTGGAATACTAATCTGCATGAGTGTAGAATGAAATTGAAATCTGTAGGACTAGACAAAGAATAACTGTGAGAGACCTGCAAGCTGAACAATTCCCAGCACCCACACAGAGCTAGGAATCATTTGTGCTCCTACTGTAGCCAGAGTGAAGAGATCTAATTGAACATCTAAAGATTTCACTGAAGGTCAGACCTTAGATGTGAGGATAAATAAAGTAGCTGTAGACTAAGGGCTGCTCTATACCTGCCCTGAGAGTGAACTAGATTTGGTAGGACCAGCTGATCTGTAAGTAACTTAAATGCCTTCTAAAATAAGTCTCAGTACACATTAAAGGAAGCCAACAAAATCTAAATATTCAGAAATGTAGCTTATGTAATATCCAGCATCAAATGCAAAAATTACCAGATATGCAAAGAAGTGTAAAATGTGACTCAGAGTCAGAAGAAAAATCAACCAATAAAAACACACCTAGAGGGGCTCCTGGGTGGCTCAATTGCTTAAGTGCCAGACTCATGATTCTGGCTCAGGTCATGATCTCAGGGTTGTGAGATGGAGCCCTATGTTGGCCTTCATGCTCAGCATAGAGACTGCTTAAGATTCCACTTGAGATTTCCTCTGCCCCTTCCCACCCCCCCTCAAATTAATAAACAAAACTTTTTTTAAAAAACCCACACACCTAAAAATCAAAGAGATGATGGTATTTGGACAATGGACTTGATTTAAAAAATTTTTAAGTTTTTATTAAATTCTAGTTAGTTAATATACAATGCAATATTGGTTTCAGGAGTAGGATTCAGAGATTCGTTACTTACATATAATACCCAGTGCTTATCATAAGTGCCCCCCCTTAATACTCTTCACTCATCTAGGCCATCCCCGACCCACCTCCCTCCATGGTTTCTTCTCTATGGTTCTCTTATGGTTCGTTTCCCTGTCTTTTTCCCCCCTTCCCATATGTTCATCTGTTTTGTTTCTTAAATTCCACATATGACTGAAATCATATGGTATTTTTCTCTGATGTACTTATTTCACTTAGGTAATACACTCTACATCCATCCATGTTGTTGCAAATGGCAAGATTTCATTCTTTTTGGTGGCTGAATAATATTCCATTGTATATATATACACACCACATCTTCTTTATGCATTCATCAGTTGATGGACATTTTGCCTCTTTCCATATTTTGGTTATTGTTGACAATGCTATATACATTGGAGTGAGTGTACCCCTTTAAGTCTGTATTTTTGTATCTTTCGGATAAATATCTAGTAGTGCAATTGCTGGACCATAGGGTATTTCTGTTTTTAACTTTTTGAGGGAACTTCTTACTGTTTTCCATAGTGGCTGTACCAATTTGCCTTCCCATCAACAGTGCAAGAGGGTTCCCCTTTCTTCACAACCTCACCAATATCTGTTTCTTGTGTTGTTATTTTAGCCATCTGACAGGTGTGAGACGGTGTCTTATGGTTTTGATTTGTATTTCCTGATGATGAGTGATGTTGAGCATCTTTTCATGTGTCTGTTAGCCATCTGGACATTTTCTTTGGAAAGATATCATTTCATATCTTCTGTCCATTTCTTTTTTTTTTTTTTTTAAGATTTCATTGATTTATTTGACAGGCAGAGATCACAAGTAGGCAGAGAGGCAGGCAGAGAGAGAGGAGGGGAAGCAGGCTCCCCGCTGAGCAGAGAGCCTAATGTGGGGCTCGATCCCAGGACCCTGGGATCATGACCTGAGCTGAAGGCAGAGGCTTTAACCCACTGAGCCACCCAGGCGCCCCTCTTCTGTCCATTTCTTAACTGGATCATTCCTTTTTGGGGGTGTTGATTTTGAGAAGGTCTTGGATACTAGTCCTTTATGAGATACAGGCAATGAACTTTAAAATAACTGTGATAAACATTCCCAAGGATTTAAATGAAAATAAAACATTTAACAAAGAAAAAAGTGTAAGGCTTAAAGAAGACCCAGTGAAAATCTAGAGTTGTAAAATTTGTGTTTTTTCAAGGAATTTGTCTGTTTCATCTAAATTGTCTATTTTTGCCATAAACTTGTCCAAAATATTTCCTTACTATCTTTTAATATTTATAGGTTGTGTAATGATATCTATTCTTCCACTTTCCATAGTGGTAATTCATGTTTTCTCTATTCATTTTTCTTGATCAGTCTAGTTACAGTTTTATCAACTTTATCAAACTTTCAAAGAACAATTTTTTTAATATTCACTATTTGCCCATTTTTCTATGTCATTTTTAAAAAGATTTTATTTATTTATTTGATAGACAGATCACAAGTAGGCAGAGAGGCAGGCAGAGAGAGAGTGGGAAGCAGGCTCCCTACTGAGCAGAGAACCTGATGCGGGGCTCGATCCCAGGACCCTGAGATCATGACCTGAACTGAAGGCAGAGTCTTAACCCACTGAGCCACCCAGGCGCCCTGGTTTTTTGTTTTTTGTTTTTTTTGTTTTTTTTAAAGGACTTTTTTTGAGAGAAAGCATGCTAGAGAGAGAGAAAGACCATGAACAGGGTGTAGGGGCAGGCAGAGGGAGAAGCAGACTCCCAGCTTAGCAGGGAGCCTGATGTGGGATGCAATCCCAGGATCCTGGGATCATGACCTGAGCCAAAGGCAGATGCTTAACTGACTGAGTCACCCAGGTGCCCTCATTTTCTATTTTTGCCCTAATTTCCTTTCTTTACTTACTTTTCATTTAATTTGCTTTTTTCCCTTAGATTCTTTTTTTTTAAGATTTTATTTATTTATTTGACAGAGAGAGATCACAAGTAGGAAG